TCCACATGTTTTATGAAGCTTGTTGATAAATGACAGAAGCAAGGAGCAGAATGATGTGTCAAGTAGGATACCATCCATGTATAAAGAGAGAGAAAAGGAAGAACCCCAAACAATGCTATGCATTTTCTTTTGGGGCACAGAAACCTGTGTGTGTATGCATGGGGAAAGCGCTGGAAGAACGCACACTGATAACAGGGGGTGAGGAAGTTGGCAGTCGGAGTGGTTATCGAAAGAGACTTCAGCCTTATCTGTAGTTATAGGTGTCTACAAGGAGAATGCATTTTGATAATATATTACTTGTGAAATTAAATAAACTTAAAAAAGGAACAAGATGGGACTCTATACTCAGTGTAGAGACTGTTGAGGAGGAATGACTCAGAGTGCACTGATGTCGGACTGTTGTGCTTTGAATCAGTTGGTGAACTGAGGGTCGTGGGGGAAGATGGTGCCCCAGGCAGCAGGGTGTGAGGTGTCCCTCGAGGGGATGTTTTCACCACCAGGCATCTGGGAAGAAGTTGATCTTGCATCAAGCATTGTGGTCAGGAGAGGAAGGGAAGCAACCAGGGCCTCACAAAGCTGGGCCTGGGATCCCCAGAGGGGAAGGAGTTGGCTCCTGGCTGCAGAGCGGCAAGTTGCACGGGAGGCAGAGGGGTGTTCTGTGCGGGACTCCGAGGGTAGAGATAGACCTGTGCTGTCCAACGCAGCAGCAGCCGGCCACGTATGGCTACTTAAATTTAAACTCATCACAAGGAAACGAACTGCAATTAAAATCCAGTTCCCCAGTCGCTGTAGCCACCTTAAAAGTGCTCAGTAGCCACATGTGGTTTGTGGCTTCTGCCGTGAACGGTGCAGATACAGAATATTTCCATCATTGCCGGAAGTTCTGTTGGCCACAGCTGCCCCAGAGCCCTGGGCTCTGAGAGTGGCCACAACACATCTTCTCTTACCCCTGGACCTTTCTGTAGAATTGTTAAGAGTAACCACCCTGTCCAGCTGCCCTGTGAGGAATTCGGAGAAGGGACGGGACCATGTTCAAGGAAGGGTGGGAAGGCAGTGGCCCGCACCGTGGAGCTGCAGGAAGGGAGCTGCAGTGGGGGTCAGATTTCTGAGCCTGCTCGAGGCTGCACCCTGAGATAATCGGAGACCTGGCAGGAGTGGGAAGTGGACCTGGACTGAAGGGATCCATTCCTATATTCCAGAGGGTGGGAATTAACCTGTGGCATTATTTTATGCTCAATGCTGGTAAGGCCTTCACGTGCTGGTCACACGTATGGGAAAGTCAGTTGTATTCGCTTCTGCGGGAGGAATTTATTTATCCCTGTGTGTTCCAGGTGCATGCTTCTTACGGGGTCAAACAGCCATTGTGTTCGATAAATAATCCCTGCTTATTTTGTGTCTCTTCCTCTGTCTCTTGCGTAAAGGGCCACGTCTGATGCTCTGATCACAGGGATATGTCGCTGTCATGTGATTTTAACCCAATATACCAAGTTTGACAACTTAGAGGAAGAGGGTCAAGTTGTGCTTCATTATTCAGAGTCCATAATCATTGGAGCTTGGTGTTAATTATTTATTTTTACTCAAAAAAAGAAAAGCTCTCTGAAAATTAATTTAAATTTTCTTAGTTTATGTAATTGGCAAAATGCTCTCATTTCCTGCTTCCCCCAACTCAAAAGGGAAAAAGTGACAAGGTTTTTTTTCTTTTTTTTTTTAAAGATCTGGAGACTATGTGTGGTTCATGGTGGCAAAGGGTATTAGCTACCCAGGAGCAACCTTTAACCCAGGGAGGAAATTATTAGTTTATGGTTCATTTTGTGGTCAACACCATTCTTTCTAGATTTTTCTATGGCCTAAACTGTGAGAGAAAATAATTGGAAATGCTATGATGAAAATAATAGAGTGATTCCTCTTGTTGCTATGGTGACAAGAATAAATTGAATCCATTGCTCTGAAAAATTGCCCGAAAGTGTACTTTAGCATTCCACAGTGGGTGTATTTGTTAGGAATTTTAATCTGTCAGCTTCCATCAAAATGGCGCAGCACTCAGAGAAATATTTTACATCTGCACTTTCAGCTGGTTTTGATTATTTTAAAAGAAAGCAGTGGAGAAGGAACAGTCATCATTATATTGGAAATTTAAATAATTTTCTAAAAGTATCTTGCCAGGTACAAACCTAAAAGCACATTACAATTTTGCTTCCATCATGAAAAATGTCATTGTCAGCACCAGCGGCGCTTTGGATGGTTTTTCAGGTCATCGATGATCATTAGTATGATATGGGATTCAAAAGACCTGGTTCAGAAACCAGAGGAAGTGGATTCTGAATCTCATTGAGCATAAGGCAGTCATATAGGCTTAAGAGAGTCAGAGAACCTCAGTGCCTTGGTTTTCCCATTTAATTTTTGGTACTGAGCATTTTAATCATGAGAGCATGTACAAAATGCACTGCATTAAGCATTTTGTGGGTGTTGTCCATACTCTGTCTCAAAAAAAAAAAAAAAAAAAAAAAGAGTCTCACTCTGTTGCCCGGGCTAGAGTGCTGTGGAGTCAGCCTAGCTCACAGCAACCTCAAACTCCTGGGCTCAAGCGTTCCTCCTGCCTCAGACTCCCAAGTAGCTGGGACTACAGGCATGTGCCACCATGCCCGGCTAATTTTTTCTGTATATTTTTAGTTGTCCAATTAATTTCTTTCTATTTTTAGTAGAGACCGGGGTCTCGCTCTTGCTCAGGCTGGTCTCGAACTCCTGAGCTCAAACAATCTGCCCGCCTTTGCCTCCCAGAGTGCTAGGATTATGGGGTCCATACTCTTAACAGCAACTCTTAACATGTAAGTGTTCTTATCTATAGTTTGCAGATGAGGAAACGGAAACTCAGAGAGGTGAAGTAACTTGCTCAAGGTCACACAGCAAAGTGGAGAGTTGGGCTTTAAGCCCAGGTGTGTTGTGGCTCTGAGCTCTGTGCCTCCCCACGGTGCTTGTGGCTCCCGTCACCTTTAACTTGCAGTAACACTGTTGGCATCTATATATTTGGGCCTCTGTCCTGAGCAGTGTGTAGACAGGGGCATGAATGCTTGCCTGAAAGGCTTTTGCCAGAGTGGTGACAGAAGCATGTATTTGATACCCCTGGGTTTTGATCATTTATTTTGCTGTCTTTAGGATTTTGTTTTTTCATTTTAAAAACAGCCTTTTGATCTTCTGTGAAGAAAAATCTTTGAATATGGACCAAGAGCCTGATTCCGCCCCATGGATCTAAGAAGGACCTTTCCCAGGGCCATCCTCCTGAGCAGCCAGGACGGGGGGGTCCCTTCTGCCACCCTCCGAAGTCAAAGTCCCACAGGGACGCAGAGAATCTCCGAGTACCCATGAATCCTGACTCAAAATCCTGCTTCCTATGGACCTAATATGATTCGTATGGCCCGGTTCACACAGTTTTTTGTGTGTGCTGCTGAGTACGGTTAAACCTTTTGGTTTTCCTTTGTCTGTAAATTTTTAGGTTCTTCTCTCTCTTTTTGCAGAAATTTTACTGCAGTGTGACCTCACTTGTGTGGTTTATTTACATTTATTTCTTATTTGTTGTCCTGAGCACTTAGTCAATTTTGTCAATCTGAAAAGTTATGTCTTTCAGTTCTGGTAAATTTAGTTCTTTGATAGTTCTCTTCCATTTTTTTTTTGTTGTTGTTATGTTCTTTTTTTCTGGAACTCATCTGTGTTGGATGTTGGACGTCCTAGACTGAGCCTCTAATTCTTTTTTTATTCTTTTCACTCTCATTGTGACAAAATTTCTTGCTTAAGAGCTTTGAGTGAAAGGAAAGAAGGAAAGAAAGGAAGAAAGCTCAATATCTTAGAACAAAGTGTCTGCCTTGGCTAGCAGCAGTCAACAGATTCCCTTTAGTTGACACACGGTCCAAGTGTCAGGCCAGTGAGGATCTTCACCTGTCACAGTGGCGCCATGCTGACCCCTTGTCTATTTTGCCACTGGGGGCGCCCTGCCCTGTTAGCCATCTTGACAATTCCTTGTGGGTCCGGCTCCCAGGTATTTTTAAGGTACTCGTGGCCTCCTGGCTTCTGGCCACTAAGCACAAGCACGTGGCCTCTATTTTGTTGATGGACCCATTATCCTCATGGCTACGAGTGACCCCACCTCTGTGACCGGCTCTACTAGCATCGTCCCAGCCTGCAGAAAAGAGCCACGTCAGCCTTCTTGTGGCACTGGTGCCCCTCTCTCTAGGGCACTCCTGATGGCCTTGGTGGAGGGGATGTCCTCTGGGCCGTCTCCTGGGACACAATCCTCAGTGGTCGTCTGGCCTTACAGAATATATCCATTCCAGCCTTTTCATTCCTTCCTCTGTTTTCCAGGCCAACTTAGCATTTCCACTTTGCCCAGAGTTGGCCACTGTTTTTCCCAGGCTTCTGAGAGTTGCCCTAGCAGTGCGTTTGCCCCTCCCCGGGGTCCTCGCTGGGGTGTTGAATCTTGTGTCCTAAGAGAGTGCCCCCAAGTCCATGGGCTCTTGCTTATCCAGCCTTCTGTTCTGTCCCACCCCCATTAAGCCCTCTTAAACCCGACCCCAGGAGTACCCCCTGGCTTTGCCAGTACGTGTCAGCCAGATTCTTTAGTTGTATCTCTTGTTCTTCCCTTATCAGTCCCAGGTGGGGCGATTCTGGGATTTCACTCCAGTTATCTGCCTGGCAGCCAGGGGAGGAGGTGGGAGCAACTCCTAACGGGGAGGAGGCATCCTGTTGCTCCGTGGGGAGAGGATTCTGTCATGTTTCCCTGACTAGGGAAAAGAACATCACCTCTGTACACACAGAGGGGTTGCAGGGCCAACATCCTTAGGGGCATCCGTCCAGATGTCCCTGGCCCGGTTTTCAGAATCCCTACCAGGGCTCTGACCTTCACGTAACAGACTTGATTTGGTGGAGGGGCTGAATGTCTCTGGAACTCTGCGAGCTGTAGAATTGGGTCTGTCCTTGCTCTGTCATTGCCACCCAAGCTCTCTGTTCACCCTTCTGGCTATCAGCTGTGTGTTGACCAACAGCTCTGGCCTCTCGATGTCTTCATGCCGGTGCCAGTGCAGCTCTGCTGTCTGCGTAGCCATCGCTCGCCCACGTTTCCCAAACGCCCGCATCGTCACACCTGCCACGGT